GCTGTGACTCATGTAGGTCATTAAATTGTTTCAGTTAAGAAACTTAATCATCTCTCCGGTGTCGGATTGAGGAATTGAGTCAACGATCGGTAGTTGGTTGGCAAATTCAATCAATTCTTGGGAGTGAGTCATCTCTAATGACTTCAGTACGTGTGTGCTCTTGTTGATGTCTAACAACAGTTGTCGTGCACCTATCAAAATAACCTGACCATTCGTAATAAAAATATTGTTAAATTTTGAGTATGAGAGTAGCTGGAAAGATATGACCATGAGATACAATAGATCTCTTCTCAAGTACCTTACTTTCAACTAGGAAACGTCCAGGTTTGACACAAATGCATTAATCGTCTCTGTTTGATTTGTTATTTGTATTTTACTAATCTCAGTTTTTCTCTCGAATGTTTATCTCATGAGAGAACCAGGTAGGTACTGGTGTTCCCGCCATATTTCTGATGACTTCGGGAGTATATTTAGGGCCTGGACCAGCAACTCATGATTTAGAAATCCTTGGTTGTGGATTCTGTTTTTGGCTTTTTGAAGAATTAGCTAGCTATCTATTTTTACAATAACATATAAAGCTGCTAAAGTATGAGAAATTTACAAGGTGCGATGAATCGTAGTAAAGTTTCATTGTCTAAAAATATCAACATATAAATACGATAATATATAAAGGAAATTATATATCAAAACTGAGTCATTCTCCCTGATGGCCTCTGGAGCCAATTTCCGGCAATTTTTACACCTAGTTTTAGCTGGCCACCACTGGGGGAACCAGGAATAATGGAAACAATTTTTATTATCTTACAGTAGCGTCAATTGATATTCGATATAAATGATAGTGTGAAAATGACGAAATAGTCTGGCTGACCACCCCACAGTAGTGTTCTTGTTCTCTGCAGAGGCTTTGCTATATGAACATTTGTCCTGAGGGGAAGTCATCTGGCTACTATACATAGACTGGCTAGGGGTCTATCAGAAACCATCAACCGGACGTATGTATAAAGACACTAGTTCCGACAAATTTCTCACTTCAGCTAATACCGTTTTTTGAACTGAATGCAACATGGATTAATTCACGTGAGACCCCAACGCGATGAAACCAATCTGCTTTCCTTGAGTCACAAGTTTGCCCCGATAATTCAGCAATCATACTTTAACCTCGCAGGTCTGAACCGATGCCGCTGGGAGTATCCTCAGTAGTTCGCACTGGGAGGCTGGCTTGGGCGTTTGAAAAAAGAAATGACCTATCCCTCATGTATTCGAATTTACTCTCTGGTGCTGATTGACGAATTCCGAACACCACAATTTTTTATAGAAACAATGACGCATTTTTGAACACCATCATGTGGATTCGTTCTACGCAGAAGCTGCGCTATATAGGCATCTTCCCAAAGGGAACACATCTGACTACTGTACACCGACTGGCTAGTTGTCAGAGGCTATTAATCGGACTATATCGCGACGTATCTAATATATACATACTTTCTCATTTCAGTTATTACAATACCTCGACCAATAAACGTGAGACTCCGACGCGATGCGATTTGCTTCTCTTATGGCACAAGTCTGCTCCGAGCAATATAATTCAACTATTTTCCATACATTCTGTTGCATTCTGGAAACACATTTGAGGCCGTTCTCGGCATACGCTCTGCCTTAGGAACATCTGGTTATGAACATCTGCCCCAAGGGGAAGACATTTAGCTACTGTACACCGAATGATTAGAGGTCAACAGAGGCCATCAACCGGACTCCTTTGTAAGTTATCTATCATATGCGCGACGTATGTACAACAACCACACTGATTTCTTTTTCATTTCAGCTATCGCCGTACTTCGAACAGAAAATGTACTAATTCACATAGGACTCCGACGCGATGACGCCAATCCGGTTTTCCTATGTCACAAGTTTCCTCCAAATATCCAGCAGTATTTCTTTAACCTTGCAGTTCTGATCGTTATGCTAATGTGAGTATTCTCACTAGTTTGTACTAGGCTCTTAGCCCAGGTATTTGCATCAACGATACATCCATAAATTTCCTGCTACCATCATCGCTGAAGACTCGGCAGTAGTGTGCGCATTCAAAAAATGCAAGCCGGGGTTTGAAGTCATATGTACGTATTTAAGTTTACTCCTCTGGCTCTTACTGTTGAGAAATTCCGAACACAATGAAAGTCACTCGTTATTTGAAACTACACGTGGGTTTTAATTTAAAGTATCTGTCTCACGACAGACGACACTCGCCTGCTTACATACAATGAGTTTTTTAGGGCCATTCCATCATGGGGATTTTTCAACCATGTATGTTTTATCCATTTTTTTTTGCGCGAAATCCGTCCAGATAAGGCCCAAATTGATATTTAACGTCGAATTTGACAATTAGATTTTGATTTTGGGGCGATTTATAGTAGTGGACAACGAAACGAAATGCCGCACACAGATCCTAAAAAGCTGCAAACTGTATGATCTGTTTTGTTGCAGTAGGTGCATATGTGACCGTTTTTCCTGCGACTGTTATCGTTTTGCATTCACTGTTTGTTCCTGATGTGGACATACATATTTCGGTGTTCGACAGTATGGCTGTTTGTATTCGCACGCTGCTGATATTATTGTATCACCAGTATTATTTTATTGCCTATAGTATATTTTCTTTAGTCGAGACTAGACACTCTGATCAGATGTGATCAACATGTCTTCCTCGTAGGGAAATAAAACCAGGGAGACTGCAACTTGTATACGTACAGTTCTTGCACCTATTGAACCAATAGAAATTGTAACAGTCTTACAAAGCGTCATGTAACAACCCACTCAGAGCCCGCGCCAGCGTCCACAGTTTGCACCAACTGCGGGAAGGGTTTGGAATTAAATGAAGAGGCCTACATCTATTAAGATCCTTCATATGCGTACAGCCAATCGGTCAGAACTACAGGAAATATGACCAAAACATGGATCGACAGCCTCGCATCAAACACCAGAGATTTTGTATTCATTTGAAAACAAATGGTGGTAATATTACTCAGGACGTTGACTCTGATCAAAGCAATGAGTCAAACATTGGTGTTGCTGTTGGATTCAACTATAATCCCGATGAGGAGCGTGACCCTATACTTCGGCCACCTGCCATCAGGCCGTAACGTGGGACTATTCTACCAGCACTAGGTGTGCCAACAGCATCGCGTGCTGTATCGAATGCACCTCTTTCCAGAAGCCCACCAAGGTCACTGCAGCAAGAAGTCCGAATAAATCGGCAACAATGACGTCAAAGAAGCGAGCTAAAGAGAAATACCGCTTATGCCAACAACGATTAAATGCTATCTGCCTCCCTGAACACCTCTTTTTGTCTTTGATAATTATCTATTGTATCTATGCATTTCTCGGCTACAGACGAAACTGATACTCTACTTCAAGCGGCAGTACTGAGCGCTTCTGATTTTACAGTTGTTGATGATGGAAGTTCCAATGTGTCGAGCCTTCGTAATCTAGAATCTGCATCCCAACTTAAAGAAGAGCCACATACAGCTGAATGTATCTTAGAACTGGAAATGAATGAGGAACTGGCTACATTGAATTATTTTCCAGACGAAGACTCAACAAGGGGTCAACAACAAGCTCTATAGCTAATTTTATGCACCCTAAGAAGTTTGCCGGATCACAGCATCAGCTCAAGATATAGCTTGTAAAGGATCATGCCCCCGTCTGCAAAGTATCGCACACAGGGGTCGATACGGCTCTAACGCGATCGTATGAAAAGTGGTACAATAGTCTGACCGAGGACGAAAGCAAGAGTAGAAAACTGGATAGGGCTATAGCCTTAGATGCCGACGCTGCAACGGAGAAGGCTGCTGGTTCACATATAGCATTGAGGTCTTATCGCCCAAAGTATCGCTCGATGCTGTTCTTTTCTGACTTGCTAATGATGTATTGAGTTGTCTACGATTAAGCAGCTGTCTTTGCTGTATGTACATGCACATGTCCTCAATCTATTTTTGTACCCTCTGGAAACGTTTCCGAGAACACAACACATTTGACACAAGTATCGTAGTCAACATGTCAAGTATTTGATTGACCGTAGATATTGTCAACTGTGAAAGTGTGTCCTTTCCCCAGACTGGGCGGTGCTTCCCACGTCAGCGACTTAGAAAAGATGCCCACCAAATGCTATTGTTTGAGTTTCTTCTCCGTACGTCAAGCGCCCATGTCGCAACACATAGGTGATCGACAAAATGTAGTACATGCTTCGTCTAAAACTAAATGCGGCCCGGGAACACAACCCTAGAACAATTGATGATAAAAAACATTTGGCAATGCTGCGGGGGGTGGCTACATCGCTGCTGCGCACATTTATCAGATGAACCTTATCCACCATCCACAACGTGTCGTTCCAGTGTCCCGTCAGGTGATCAACGGTAGCACATAATGGTATAACATGACTATGGATGGTGACTACATACTAATAAGTAGCAACTATTAAATAACAACTCGCAGCTAACTCAAAGCGAACAAGTGATGAGATGCCTAGGTAAATTTCGATTGCCGTGTTCGTGCAAACAAATGGAAACAATCTGCTATCGTTTGCAGTTAAATCGAACGGTGACAGAAATATAATGGTCAGTTTAAAATTGGAGAGCACTCAATTCCATATTAAATACCACAATCGATAACCTTGTCGACGGTGTTGGTGTTAGCACCGCCATTAATGGAAGGCTATCTTTTCTATTAAAGACAACAATTTGCCAAATTGAAATGCTTAGTATTATCCCTATACCAATTTTTGAAACCTGAATTTTTGAGATTGTTGGATTACGGTACGGTTTGAATTTCGCTGCGTCCCTACACGAATCTTCGATATATACTCATGCAATCAGGTACTTTATAAATATCGATAAATATGCATTTTTCTTTGCTGACAATTTTAAAGAAACAAAAAAAATCTCACATTTCAAACAAACATACAAAGATGTCGTTGAACAAATACTCTCACCAGCCAAGAACATATGTTGTCTGTTTCTATTATACAACCGTATGTATATTTATATTTATGTGTACAACTTACGAAGCATCCTTCGACTATAGATCATCCGCAGCGCTGCTATAATTAGAAAATGTGGCTAAATATGCCGTCTACTATTTATTATACAAGTGTTTGGCATTTAATGACACAAGAACACTGCTACATTTCACGTCTAATTATGCAGACTTGACAGCATTGATGGCGGCTTCATCGAGATCCTCTAGCATGGTTAGCTTGAGTCCACAGTTGGAAATCAATTTTTGAGCCTCTTCCTCGTTGGTACCTAATTATAGTAGGGTATGACAGACAGGAAATATCAGACACATTCAATAGTAATGCGCATAGCTCCCCCGAGATAAAAAAAGTAACTGAACTGAAGCCAGTCAGGTGTGAAGGGAGGAGTTCAGGATAAGGTAGAAAAGAGATACAAGGGAAAGTCGTAGAATAGGAAAGCAAATATATAGGCCACGCGCGGACAATAGCATATTCTTACACACCCGAACAAAACAGACTATATTAGAGACATCGGAATTGTATACTTCCAGCTCGACATAAAGGCAAGCTGTTAATATGTAAACACCAATCTAATCACAGCTCATTTCTATTCTATATGCTAAAGTGTCGAGCCTCAAATTTATTGGCTTGGATACACTGAAAAATAATAATACCCTTCAGTCGGATGGTAATGGGGATGTTGATGCCCAGGTTATTCGCAGCCGCGATGATACCACGGGCGACTAAGCCACAATCGACAATTCCACCGAAGATGTTGACAAGAATGCCCTTGACCTGGTTGTCAAAGTTGCAAAGCAATGGGGTTCAACTCAGAGGTTACCACAGAATTGGGAAAGAACCAAAGGTGTCCAAGGCTGGATAATTCACGCAGACAAAATATATGAATATATATAAAATTCCAAGCAGGGCTATAGATACTGTATCGCTATAACTAATTGGAAGTATTGACGGTTGGGTGTAAAGGTACCGCAAAGTAAAATATTTTACCCGACAAATAGACAAAGCTGTGTACATTAGTGATAACGTTGATTGGACTTCAAAAGCAAAAACAGAAGATCTATCAACCCCCTCCCTCCCCCCGGTCCACAATCAGCGTACACTGGACATAAAAAACAATAGTATGTATAGTATCATATTGCCGTTTCCACCACATAATCACAAAAAAATGGTCCGTAGTGCTCGTATGGTTTAGTCAGGACTATACCTTAGGGTCAGCAGTCAAAATCTTGAAGGCCTGTCCAACAGAGGATTCAGTGACACCACCTCCCAAGTCCAAGAAATTGGCGGGCTTTCCTCCGTGTAACTGGATGATATCCATAGTGGCCATAGCAAGTCCTGAGAAAATAAAAACAGGTAAGTGTCCAAACTACTGTATAGTATTCAAATGTTTAGTAAAAAATCTAATACCATGATCATAATACGACTACGCCCATAGACAATGTCTTGATTGCACGTGAAGAGCTCATCGGTACCAATCGTTGGTGCATTTCGGCCATGCCATCTTCAAGGCAAGGCCCGTGATGTCTAGGCACAAAGCAGACGAACAATTTGAAACATATGAAAAAGTTGCAAAAATACAAACAGATCACACTATCTTTAAAAATGAATGTATTATAGATGGACAAGTATCGGGCAGATGCACCATAGATTGCATCCTCACATGACTCAGATAATACTAATTAGCTTGTAGTGCACCTCTACCAGTCTGAACAAAGACGATAAAAAGTAGAGTGTAAAGGGCTCACGCGAGCAGTTCACAATTCAAATTCTTAGATCGCTGGGATGCAAGGCTCGTGGTACCACCTAGGAGCTACTATACATAAACCCATCAATATAACCAGTAGACACGAGTAAGTGGAGCATTTGCAAAGAATCAAAATATATAGTGAAACACACCTGCGCCGTTGACCATGCATCCGATGTTTCCGTCCATTCCGACGAAGTTCAAGTCATACTTACTGGCCTCAACCTGAAAATTGATAGAAGGTTGTATAAAACGTAATAAATATTCACGTCTTCCTCGTGGAGTGCATAGGAATGTAGCACACATCAGCAAGAAGAATCATAACACCAGCACACGGCTATCCTGGCCGTCAAAAAAAAAGACACGGAAGCGGGATACAACAAAATACATACTAAAATTACATGCCACCCCCCACTGGATGTGACACAGTGTTAAAGCTTGTATCGCAGACATCTACATAGACATACAGGTATGCTTGCAATATAAGCTCCAGCACAGTAACCAAGCATATGCTACTTACTTCACGGGGATCTTCCTCAGCGGTGTCTCTCTGTGCGAAAATATCAGCCTGTCGGAACTCAGCATTGTCGTCAAAGCCAATCTTTGCATCGACACACATCACACGGCCGTCAGACAGCTTGCACATGGGGTTGATCTCTACTTGGGTGGAGTCGACACCGATGAACATCTTGTACAAGTTGTTCATGACTTCCTTGGACTGTGTATGTGACACCAAATGATAACATAATTGTAACAGAAAAGTTAGGATGTGGGACAGACAGTCTGGAAAAAACAAAAACAAGAACGAAACTACAAACGGTATACTTTCGCAAATATGGCAACACACTTCGCATATACTGGAGATGATTCGCACGCAGACCCAAATAGTTTCACACGTGCACACTCACAGACCTGAGTCTTGGAATCGCCCTCGAAGTTAAGACCTTTCGCCAAGTTCTCCAATTGCGCATCAGTGGGGCCATGGTTGATGTCGATGAACTCCTTGAAGATAGCATCGGGGCGCGAGTGTGCAACCTGACCACACGAGCGTGAAATGCAGCGTGTAGAGGTGAGTTTAAATTAAATCAAAGGCTACAGACGATGCAACAGGTGCCATTCAGGTGGTAAGCGAGCGAGTGAGATGGTGTACAGGCGCTGTGTATAGTGCGTGCATGCAGGCTGGCGATCCAAAAGTCTCGCTTAACTGGACTATGAGGCTCGGATCTGTACAGGTGCTCAGGTGTGTTACGAGCTTATATCCTTCAATAGCCAGTTCCTTCCCACACATAGCCTATATCAATATAGGTCTGCAGTGCTGGTACATTCGAACAACTAAGGCACAATCCTCGACCGCACAAAGTGTCTCCACATAGATAGTGCTGTATGGTCACAATAACACATCAGCAAACGGGCCATTGAGACGCCAGTTGTAGATCCAGATGGCTGGATTCTTACCTGCATCGGATTTATAGTACTATGCTTACGTACTAACCCAACAAACATCGTCCGCAGAACCACCACGACAGCGCTCGAACACACACACACTGCAATACACACCTCCTCGATGTCCATGCCTCCCTCGGCACTGGCAACCATGACTGGTCCGTTGGTGGCACGATCTAGAAGGATGGCGAAGTAGCACTCGGCTACCACATCAACACCCTCAGCGATCATGAGCTTGTTTACCATAACACCGTCACCTTGTGTCTGCTTGGTCTTCAATTTATAGCCCTGGAAGAATCGGAGTACGAGATATGATCAGTATGATACAACGTAGGAGGCGCATAAGAGGGTGAGTGGATCATATAGCGCTGGGACCCGAGAATTTACTCATGAGCCAAACACAGAACACATGGATCGGGTATGTGTATTTCTTAAGAGGAACTATTAACGCACGGCATTCCTGACATTTCGTTACCACCAACTCAGATAAGCAAAATTCGATCGGGAAGCGGTAGAATTCATAACATCGGACACCAACTCCGAAGACTTAACACGTACCCAAGGTGCGTGTCTGCATTACTGATTCTAGATATGCAGAATGACCGAACACCGCAGCTACGGCAACATCCGAATAGGATGAGCACACAGATTTATAACAAGAGTATTCACAGAGGTTGTTTTTCGCATTTAGCGTTGTTTGTGTATAAACGTCACAATTAGCATTGTTTGTGCGTATAGATATCACATATAGTGTTGTTTTGTGTGCATACATCAGGAAGCACAACCCCAACAAACTAAAGCTGGCAAAGGGTGATGTGCACGTGCATGCCAATTGATTGAGACAGGAATAACAGACATTCATAAGCGGACGAATTAAACGTACGAGATAAGTGTCGCGCGCCGTGTTGAACGCACTGTGACAACTGGACAAGGTGCTATGACTATTTACATATGTAACCTCGATCGTATGCGCCTACAGTGCTTTGCAGTGGGGCACTGTATTCGAAAGGTCTGGCATCCCCGTTGATATCGGATAGTTCCTCTAGTATGATCATCGATGGATATAGATATGTAGTAACATACGTGTAGGCAGCGTCATCATGTACGCTTAATAGCTTATTCGACCACACCTCAATCCTACATAATCGATCCTTAATTGTTGATGTATCTTATTGTCGCTTTACATACGGAATTGAATTCACAATGATACATAATTTATTTGTTTGTCGTGCAGATGTAAGTATCAACGTGAATGTGCATATTTTGTAAACTCAAGCTTGAGCATATATGCATAAGACGGCTTATATAAGAAACAAGATACAGGCGTTGATATTTTATTGCTGTGCCGCATATTTACATTACGGCCCCCACACATACATACATATGATGCGAGTGCCAAATTTAAAAAATTGAATTTTAACGTACGAAAATGGTTCTCTACAATAATATGTGTAGCTACGTGCTCTTACACACGTAAGTTGTGGTTGATTAACGACGGACTGCACCAATATAGCAAAAATAGCCCCACTATAAAACACGCATTGCATGCATGACTACGTGCTTATACGTGGATAACTTGACGTTTATAAACCACGCACCGGAAGTACAATATGTTCACCCCTTTTCGCATGCCAGCGCTATTGCCAGCGAATTATCAATGTAAGTATAGAGAGACGCATTCGAGGTGACGATTGCAATACCGATGTGCCTCCCAAAATATCACACACGGAGACATTGACATGCCCAATCACATGTACAAAGATAATATCTAAATCCATATTCCTATACCGTTACATAAAAAAACACCAACTTACGCTACTGCTTGTTTCTCGCATCAATATACACATTGATTGTCACTCAAGCCTCTCGGTTGTCAAGTCTTGTAATCTTCCACACAATCACATACCAACATTTGCTTGGCCAGTTCTTGTGCTCTGTCAGCACTGTCGATGACGTGCACACCGCCCTGCAGTCCACTGCTGAGTGTTCCCTTTCCACGTCCTCCGGCATGTACCTATAACCAAGTTGCCCGCAATAGTCGAATTTTTTTAGATGCTAACAAGAATGAGAGTGAATGAGTTCACAGGATGACACGATACAGGCCACTATTTGCCTATGCTTGTTTCAGTAAATGAACACAGAAATACACGTTTGGCACACTTAAACTTAAACACGAGCGCTGCCTTGAGGAATGGGAATTGCATTTTTTTCAATCAAAAGTATGGAGAGGAGATAAATTACAAAATGATAAACAACGTGTTGGAGCCAGGTCTGTTTCTAGAGAAACTGAATGCCCTAACACGCGCACGAGAGTACAATAAGAATCGCCGTACAAGAGGAAATATTCGTTTTAATATAGACATAAAGACTAAACGGGTGCTGGCTAACCTGTACAGGGGTCTTGATGAGCACTTTGCACACAACACCAATTACCACCACTGTTGCTTCGATGAAACACATGACACAAACCGCTTACCTGAGTCTTTATAACCATCTTAGGAGTTCCAATCTGCTTGCAGGCGTTCAGCACATCGTCGACGTTCTCGACAACAACAGACTTAGGCACTGATACACCCCAGTCCTTCATCAGGTTCTGTGACTGGTATTCGTGCAAGTTCAGGTTACGCACATGCATAGTTCCCAAAGCGGGGACACGCGCTGAAACAGCCATACGACCAGCGATGGCCCGGGAGGCAGAGGGCAGAGCAAACATGGTCTATAACTATATTAGATTAGTCTTCTACTCGTACTCACTTGCTGTGTTGTATTATTATATACAAAATAGTGGTGTTCAATTATATATCCTCTGCTCTGGCTGGTCAAAATCCAAATCCAGAAACTTATTATAGAGTGACTCAAACGCTGACTTGGGCCCTGGGTCTGGAGAAAGAGGACTGGGCCACTGGCCCACAGCCCAGTGCTCACTGGTGAATGGGCCATTGCGGGCCCAGGCCCCGGGGGATGCGCCATTTGGGTCAACTCTTGGTCACTTGGTGTGTATATATTCGATGATCCGAGTCAGACGTTGCCCATTAAGGTAGGAAGCACAGCCGAGCCTCGAATCAAACATAAGAAGCGACTTCAAATTTAACTACAATCTGGATTCGGTAACGAATTGTAATCTTATTTGCAGCTCCATTTTGGATACATCATCATCTAATTATGCATTGGCCTGAATTAAGAATCCATCGCATGTTTGGCCGAGAGATATTTACATACCAATATATTGTCCAATTCTCTAGCAGATCCCAAATATCACTTTTTCAATTTTAACGATCTCTGAATAGCCAAAAGTTGGGCCTAATTTGTGCGGCCCTGTTCAAAATGACATCTCATTTCTGGTCTGCATCAATAAAAATGATAGCATACAAAATGGCCCCGAATGAGATCACAGTATATTGTGTACAAAAGTATATAAATATATTTCTATTGAGCGTTGAAAGTGGCCAAATACGTACCGAACTGCCATAAAAATATGTCCCACCTGGTTTCCACATTTATTTAATGATGACCAGTCGATTTCCGGATTCCGCCGATTTGATTTGATGTGTGTTGTGTGAACCAAAATCACATTTCTGATTTCGACTTCTCGAAGCCTCCTCATAAAATACCTCCTCTATTGTGTGTATTTATTTTTCCTCGTAGGCTTAAAGTTTTAGGTATAGAACGGAGTGGTTTCTGTCTAGATAACTCATATATCATACCCAGTAGTCAATCATTACATCACCATGTCGTATTGTAGAGACGAGGAGAACGGTACGTTAGAGTGCCAATTTTCTTTGGTTTCATAGCCTTTGTAGTTTGCCGAGCTTAGTGAAGTGTTTGCCATTCAATATTATCGATACTGTGCAACAATCCTGATTTTCGTTAAAGTGCCAATCCGCAGAAACCCAAGATGTATGGTCAATTGAACCCTTTTGATGGCATTCGCACAGCGTTTTATACCTGCAAATAGTTGCATCCAAGTTCAGATTGAGACCCATGGTTTTCATGGCTTCCAAGAGAATCAACAATCTATTATTTGATGTCTGTGGAGCTATAAGCACGCATTTGCATACAGCTAAATATATTTTCAGTGGTGCATAGATATGTACCAATACGCTGATTTACATATTTATATGCGTGTAAGTAAAATTTCATATCAAGTATTCACTCATATCCACACATATACACAAGCACACGTACACCCGAATACATGCGTATACCCAGACACACATACACACACAAACACACATACACACACACACACACACATACACACACACACGCACATACACACACGCACACACACACACACAATCATATATAT